TTGAACCAACCTCGAGAAAAGAAAAGAGGCACTGAGAAGGTAATCTAGTCATTCTCGTCTGATTTTCTAGTCTTTCCACTTAGTATGTATTCATAAAATGGTCTTGCTTTTCTTACACCAAGCAAAAATTGACCATGCTTTTAGATTGCAGTGGACTATTTATTTACATCCCAGGATGTATGAAAGTATGATTTATTTTTTTTTTCCACCCAGGTACATAATCATATCATTTGATCTGTTGTTGTGACTTTTTTCCTTAGTTATGCACTTCAGAGTTAAAACTCTTGCCTTATGTCTGCTGAGATTGGTGACTTGACAATAAATGATTATTTAGAGGTTATCAAAATAGTAAAAACACAAGTGTATTTAGCCTAGTTTATAAAGATACAAAGTTTCACTTACATGATTGAGAGACCTGGTTCGCTATAGGAAAGATTAGCATCTAGTTGATAAATTTAATTTTTATGTCACTATAAAATATGGACAATTAATAGAATAGTTTTTGTAATACTTTTACAAAAAGTAACATTTAATACATTTTAAAGTATATAAAATAAGGTACTTATTAGTCTAAGCTTGCTGATAATTGAAGATCATATTTATACTTCCTTTCTCCACCCGCTCTTTTTTTAATTTGTCTTTTTACTCAGCCCTCTATCACCCAAGATTCTCTGGAATTTAAGCTGATAGGGGGGAAGTATCCAGCTGGGTTTGTTAATTGTCTTTTCATGAATAGAGAAAACCTTGCTGAGGAGGGAGGGCCTCCTTCCTTCCTAAGGACTTTAGCAGCTCTATGAGGTGTTAATTTCAATTCCTGCTTGAGATTACTTACATGTCAAAAACATTCATTAAGAGCTGGTAACTGAAAATTACTTCACTTTCTTGAATAATAATCCTGTAATTATGAAATTTCACTTAAACTTCTTACATAAATACTAAGAACCTTCTTCTCATAATAGGAATTAACCATTTCATTTTTCTTTTAGAAATTTCAAATGATTGCATCTCTAAAAATTAAACTTGAGTCAAAAAAATAAACATTGGCTAAGCAGTTTTAAAAATTTATTTTAATACAGTGAGGGACTTTGTGCCTGGGTTGGCAGTTCCTGCATGACAAAAATGGTTTTAAATACTAGACTCCTAGCAGAAAGTTTGGAGGTTACAACTCACCCAAAGTTGCCTGGGAAGACCTCGAGATTTTCTTCTGAAAGGTCATACAGCCTTGAAAACCCTATGGAACAGTTCTCTGTAGGTATGGGATTGCCATAGTCAGTGTGAGTTGGATTGCAACATCAACAGTCACTGAGTTAGAGTTCATTTGCTAACCTATGTAAGTGTTGCACTATCAAGTTTATCATTTGTAGGATTTGTTTCATAAATGGAAAATTTTGAAAGTTGATGAAGCTAAATTAAATTAAGTCACCAAATTAGCCCTTCTCATAAAATGAAAAAATCTTCAGAAAATAGTGGACAGTACTGTCAAAGAAACCACTAGGCCATAATTATTTCATATATTTATTTCATTTGTTTATTAATTTATTTAATACAAATCCTCAGAGTGACCACTTTGTGTTAGCTACCATGAACAGGCTAGACAGTCAAGATTAACAAAAGTTCTGCTTTCTTGAAGCTACAGATAAACAACACAGGTCTAATGGTGACCACTGGTTTGCAGAAAAACAAAGTAAATTAATGAGGATAAGGCACTTTGCATCGGATGAGGTTGTTTGCAGCTTTTGAGGCAGAAGCAGTAAAGTGAAAAGATTATAAGGGAAATTTATAAAAGGATTATAGGAGCAAAAAAACAGAGAACACCTTAAAAGAACAAAACCTAAACTGTTGGCATAACTTTGATCTGAGTCATAATGACTTTATAGTAGAGCAAAACTGCCCCCATAGAGTGTCCAAGATTGTAATCTTCAGGGACATTGTGGAAACTGATACTACATCTTTGTCCTACGGAGCAACAAGTGTGCCTGGAAACAAACTTAGATCTTTGCTGTTTGCATCTAGGTGCTTAGATTAATACATTAGTGGTAGTGATTAAATACTAAGAAAACATGAGTGAAAGTAAAGATCTTTACCAGAAGTATGACATAAATACATTACTAACTTAAAAATGGGACTTTCGTGGTAGTCCATCATGGAGTGAAACAAAACCATTAATAAATACTGGTTCTTTAATTTAAAACAAAATTATAATATTACTGGAAACAATTTGTTTAGCTTGATTGAATTGTAGAAAAGGGAAAATATTAATCAACAAAGAGAATATTTCTTTTCTAAATGTGTTCTTTTTACATAAAAAATGAGGTATAAATAAGTGACTAACCTGTCAGTCAGTCAGTAAGATCAAGGAAAGGTCTGCCAAGTGGGATATAACTTAGTCCTTCTTCCTAGCCCAAACCTTTGTAGCTATTGGAGACAGAAGGGAGCCTTTACTTATTTCATTTCACCTCTTAAAATATTTTAATTTTGTTTTTATCAGAATGGTCCTTTCTATTCAAGTTACTAATATGTCAAATATTCAGCAATCAAAGCAGAACACATGAAATTTGTGAAGAAAGCTATATGACAATTCTAAACATACACAATTTTGAGGACTCCTCTCACTGCAAATACCAGCTTTTTACTTTCATCTAAAAGTTACTTTTTATCAGAAACCGCATGACACTAAATACTTAATAAGAAATAATTTAGTGAATATTCATAAAAATCTATTTTTAAGAGAAAAAGATTTGCATTTAGTTCCAAGGAAAGTACCTTAATTTTTTTTCTTTAAGGAAACTTGGGGAATATTTAAGATATTTGGAATTATTTCTGTTCCATAGAGTTCCTTTTCACTTCTTTAAAAATATACAGAAATTTAGAAAATTCATTTTTATAGTAGATCCTTATTTGGATATTTTTCCCCCCTAAATTCACATTTGTGAGCAAACCTTTACATAGCATTCTGCCCTCAGTATAGTAAGTCAACAAGCACCATGTGATTATTGAGAATCCTGAGTCCAGTGTTCTAGTCTGTAAGAAGTTACGCTGCTAACCCAAAGGGGGCGCCCCTCTGTCACTTGGAATCCAGCAGCCCTGGCGAAAGATGAGCAGTTTCCTTACTTGACAGCTTGCTGGAGGGGTCAGCTGGATTGGTTCCGACTTGAGACAGTAAGAGAGAGGCAGTATCATTTAGGGAATTCTGTGGTATTACTGTTACCCATACAGATAGAATAGGGTATAAAGAATAGCAAATATGTAGGCATCCAGGGCCTTCCCCTCATAAAAATGACATAATACATAGTGGTATTAATTGGAAGGGTTTCCAAAAGTTGAAGGAAAATAAGTTTTTCATATCATTTGAGTATTATTTAAGTACTTTTTTAATAATACCGATACCAAGGCTGTACAGAATAACACATATGTGTGTCCTGGATCTCCCCCATAAGTTTAAAAATTACTAATGCACAGTGACTATTAACTGATACAAAATATTTCACAAATTCCAAGTAAGAGGTTTTTTTTCATAATTCAAAGATTAACTGTCCATTTATCGTTACTGTATCATAATGCTGTCTAGATTTCTTTTGAACTGAACTTAGTTGGAGCCCAGGTAGTTTAATGAGTAAAGAGTTATGCTGCCAACCCAAAGGCATGCTATATGAATCCACCAACTGCTGGGAGGATAGAAGCTGGGCAATCTCCTCCAGACTAATTGACTGCCCCTGAAATCTCACTGGGGCTCAGCTGTGAGTCAGTTCTTCTTTTTTTTTAATTATTATTTTTTATGTGTGTGTACCGTCAAATCAGATCTGACTGGTACAGGAGGAGATTGCCCCTCCTTCTCCAACAGAGCATCTGGTGGATTCGAACCACATACCTCTGGGATTGCAGTGCAGCTTCTTGCCACTAGGCCACCGGACCTCCCCTAGCTGTGAGTCATTTCTGACATAACAGTATATCAAAACAACCAACTTAGTTGGCTCATTAGTCTCCCTTTCTCTTTTTCAGGTATCATTCAAACTAATAATGTGAATAGTTTCTAATTGTTGTTGTTATGTGCTGTGAGTAGTTTCTGGTTGTTGTTATGTGCCATCGAGTCACTTGTGATTTGTAGCCTCCCTATGTACAAGAGCTCTAAACCCTACTCTGTCCTGTGCCAATCTCGCGGTCTCAGACACACCGACCCCAATTACCCCAGTCACTGAACCATTCCACCTCATAGAGGGCCTTCCCCTCCTGCGCTGTCCCTCCAACCTCCCAAGCGTGATGTCCCTCTCCAAGGACTGGTCCCTCCTTGCAACATGTCCAAAGTTTACTTTTTGGGTGTCAGATATATTCTAACTTCTGTTTTCTTTCTTTATAGTTAATCACCAAAGCTGAAAAGATCAGACTGGCAAAGACTCAACAAGCAAGTCAACATATTAGATTTTCTGAATATGATTGAAAAAAAAAAACAACCAACATAATGGTTTAACTGAATATTTCTCCAAATACTTGAGTTATTAAGAAAACTGTTTTTTACTATGATATTACTACATAATAAATGTTGTTGTGTTTTGTTTTTTTTTTTAAATTTTATTATTTTGTATGCGTGTACTGTCAAATCAGATCTGACAGGTACAGGAGGAGATTGTCTCTCCTTTCCCGGCAGAGGCACCACCAAAGGCAAGTAGTGGATTCGAACCGTGCTCCTCTGGGATTGCAGTGCAGCTTCTTGCCACTAAGCCACCAGAGCTCTCCATGAATGTTGTTTTAAAGTCTACATTTAATAAAAAAAATGTATCTTTGTTCCTCAACTTGTAAATAAGACTTATTTTCTAGAGACAAGTACATTGTATACCACAATGTTTCATTAAACATGTGGAAATCATATGTAAAACAAACACATTGTTCAAGAAATAAAAGTTTTAAATATTATCATTCATTTTGATGAGTTTTACCTTAAACATACGTAATTGAAAAAATCATTGTGTGAGTATATACGTTACAAAGAAAATATTTAACTGCTTTAGTAATGGATTTTTACTGTACTTGTTAATTTGTAACGACTTTTGCATTTCAGATATTCTGAATATCTTTTCATATCAATTTATATAGCTGTTACGGAACAGTGGTGGCCTTGTGGATAAAGAGTTGTACTGCTAACCCAAAGGCAAGTGGTTCAAATCTACCAGCTAACCCACAGTAGAAAGATGAGCAGTCTTTTCCCTGTGATATAGGTATCCAGTTAGTTTTTCATAAATAAGGTTAACATTCCATGAGTATAGGTTGGGAAATGGTCAACATTAAGTATAGCTTAGTTCTACCATCTTGTTCTGAAAAATCAGGACTGAAACATTACTACGATTGAGTGAGTCTAGAGAGCTTGTTTTTATTCAAGATTGTAGGTAGGGAGTCTGCAAGTAGTGTTGAAGTCCATTTCTTAGTAGGTCTTTTGCTCAACATTGCAGGAGTTTCTTTGGTCCTGAAGCCCATTATGTCAGGAAAGAAGACATTTCTGTTTGTTCTCTGATGGCTACTGATAAGACATACCACTTCTAACACAGTGACACGATAAACACTAATGTTTTGAGGCCTGGGTGATGATACTTCCCATCACAGGAGCATATTAGACTTTACCTTCTCTATCCTCAGCTAAATTCAGTGCTGACAGAAAGCGGTCACACAGATGGCAGCAACAAAGATCTTTAATGTTGTCCATTCCAGTGAGGGTTTTTCCACTTTGATCTTGTTAGAATTGGATAAAGGTTCTTATTCTTGGTATTCCTGGTTTTTGATTGTTTTAAGTGGAGCTCTGGTGGCCTAATGGGTCAGGAACTGCACTGCTAACCCGGAGGTGGGTGGTTCAAATTTACATGCTATTCTGTGGGAGAAAACCAGGCAGTTTCTTTCTTTTTATGATTTACAGCCTCTGAAAATCCAGTGGCTTGTTAGCCTTGAGTCCATTCTGATACCCCAGCAATGAGTGAGTCAGTGATGTCCCCATCCTTTTACATCGGCAGGATTATTTAAGCATTTTGTCATAGCTCAGTACCACTTTGAATATTACTAGCCACTGTGAAGGGTGGATTAAACACTATCAACTACCAGATACTGCACATTTGACCTCTTGGCCAATATCATTAGAACAGAGTATAGTTGAATTCTCTTCTTTACATTGTTGTCTTTTGAAAATTTCCAGTCCTCTGTTAACTCTGCTTTACCTTATTCAGCATATACTGATTTGTACCTAATAAGTAGAAAGGAGTGATGTGTTGGAGAGCTGCCTTGACTTTGGGCTAAGTGGCTAATCTTCTGAAGCCTATCCTGCTGCAAATTTCATATTCCCAGGAAAAAAGGACTTGAGCAGAATTTCCATATTTCCAGAATATTCCTAACAAACTTCCCTTTTGCTCCTCTCTGTCACTGGAAACCAGAAGGCATAATACAAATTTAAATGAGGTGAACTATTGAATGACATATAGCAAATCTACTAGCATCAGTGTGTGTTTAAATATGCCAGGCCTTAAACATGAGTGCCTTTCTGTTGTAAGCAACAGAACATCTGTGTTTGATTGCTATCATTTGATCTAGTATCTTTAAAACTGCACTCTTGAAGTGGTGCAGCTCTGCAAGGAGTAATTCTCTTACTGTAATTTTCTGTTATTAAGGCTGTATGTATTGTATCATCTCAGTGAGGTAGATAACATTGTTATTCTCACTTTAAAAAGAAATGAAATCGGATCCACATCTCACACCATGTTGTTGTTAAGTGCTGTCGAGTTGTAGACAACATAGCAACCCTATAAACGAAAGACCTGAACTCTTGTATAACTTTAATCGTTTCTCTAAGTTCATGGGGTTTCCGGAGGCAAGCTGTTTCAGAAATAGATGCCACTCCTGCTTCCAAACTTGTTTTAATCAGGGAGTTCCACCAAACACTGTCCACCATGGGTAACTATTACCTCATTTGAGGCATCAATATCACAGTGTTCAGCATCACAGCAACCACGAGTTACCTGTGTACAGCAAATGGGCAGACCAGTGCTATACCACTCAGAAGAATGTTGACCAAAAACAATTAAAACCAGGCCTGAGGTCCACATATTAAAACCACCCACCTTTGGCTTTTTAGCATAAATTTCTATCCAGTAGCCCAACAGAGCTCTCTCTATGTTGTTAAGTGCCATTGAGTAGTAGACTCATAGCGACCCAAAGAACAAAAGACCTGAACGCTTGTATAACTTTCATTGTTACTCCAAGTTCATAGAGTTTCAGGAGGCAAGCTGTTTTGTCATACACAAAAATCAACTCAAGGTGGATCAGAGACCTTGGAGTAAAGCCTATAATCGTAAAGTTCATCAGAGATACCATTCTTCTCTTTGAAAAGTAAAAGAAAAATTCTTTCATTTCTTATAAGTGAGCTCTCGGAGCCTAGTCCATAGGAGATGTGCTTAGAATATACCCCAAGAAGATGAGAACTGAGGCTCAAATGGAAACTTGTACACCAGTGTTCATAGCAGCATTATTCACCATCACAAGAACATGGAAACAGCCCAAATGTCCAACCACAGCTGAATGGATTGATAAATTAGGATACATTCACACGATAGAGTACTACACAACATGCAGGAGAAATGATTTTGTAAATTACTACATACCTTGGGAGGGACTGGAGAGCATTATACTTAGTGAACTGACTCAATCCCATAAGGACAAACACTGTATAAGACCATTACTGTAGAATGAGTATGAGGATCCAAGATGGGGGAGCAGAGGGGTGAGGATGGGTGGGGATTAGGAATAGTTAATTATAGTGTTACACAATTTGAAGAGTGGAGGAAGCAGTGGATGAAGCAAAGGATCCAGTCTAAAAACCAAATGTATACAAACTTGGTAAATAAATCAGTATAGTTAAAAAAGAAAAAAACAAAACAAAACCAAGACCCTTGCCAAAGGTCCATAGCTAGTGTGTCTAGTCCTCAAATGCAGAAACTCAGTCCAGAGGCCATACTGTGAATGACTAGGACACCTGCCTGTCTCTTCATCCTTTCCTTCCAACTAAGGCGTCACATCCTATACCCACAAAACTTCTGCCTTCAAGCTGCTTCTGAATTAACAGTAGCCCTATTTGAAAGAATAGAACTAGCTGCCTCATGGGGCTGCCAAGTCTGTTAAGTTTTCACTTATTATTTAGCATACTAAATAATTTTTCTCCCCTAGAATACCTGGTGGGTGTTCACTGCCGATCTGTAGGTTAGCGGCCCAATGCTTAACCTGCTGAGCCACCAGGACTTGTTCCTGCAGCTGTGATATACTCTGTGTAACAGTGCATCTGTTGGACTCGTTATCTCCTCTGCTATCTTATCCTTTATCAGTTTTGTACATGTCTATCTTTTGTATCAATTTACTGAATAGGCATGGGTAGGGTAACACTTCATTTCATAATATGTGTCTATAATAACCAAAAATATTGTACAAATGTTCGCTGCCACAACCGTTTTTATTACACCCCGATTAATACATGAGTCATTTTTTTTCAATTCTAACTTGAGGGGTAAAGATGTTTCCTATAGTTGTCTTAATTTTCAGTTCCCTGTTTCTTTTTCTTTCCCCCCCCCTCTTTTTAAAATTCATTTTCATTATCGTTTACAGAGACTTTGAATTTTCATTCATTCACTGTTGCATTTTTCTATCTGCCCACTCCTCCCCCCAAGTTTACTCTTCTCTTTGAAAAGTAAAATTCTTTCATTTCTTATAAGCGAGCTCTAGAGGCCTAGTCCATAGGAGGTGTGAATTCCTCTAAAGAATTCCAATTGAAAGCGTGTTGATGCTGTTGTTAGACACTATCCAATTAACCTCTGGACATACGGTGGCTTTGTTAACAACAGAATGAAATCCGGCTGCTTGGTCCTGAACTCTACCGTAATTGGAGACCTGACTATTATCTATCTAGGGGTTTTGTTGGCTGATTTATGGATGTAAACAACTAGATCTTTCTTCCTAATCTGTTTTAGTCTCCAAGTTCCACTGAAACCTCTTCACTGTCCTAGCAACAGGTAACCTCTACTGACAGATGATGGCTATTCAGTCAGATGCCACACATAGGAATCAATGCCAGATTCCCCATATGGATGGCAAGAGTTCTAGCACTGGGTCACCTGAGTATCAGTGGAGAGCACCGATGTAAAAATACATAAGGGAAAACTTCCTTAACATGTTTGAAATACAGTGAAGAAACCAGGAGGTTGAAAAGCTTATGGAAAGATAAGTAATAGCATTTAAAAAAATAACCCAGGCCCCCTGCTCGGGGCAAGCCGTCGCGGCCCTCTGCCCGGGGCGGGCTTCCCTCGGTCCCTGGCTCAGAGTGGGCTGCCCTCGGCCCTCTGCCCGGGGCGAGCCGTCGTGGCCTCCTGCCCCGGGGCAGGCTGCGCTTGGCCCCCGGCTCGGGGCGAACCGTCACGG